CTCTCTCTCTCTCTTGGTGGGTTAAGCTGTCACTTAGTTCAGCTTAACAGTTTTAAATCCTCCAAATTCTCTCGCTGTATTTTCTTATTAAATTGATAAGTTCCCAAATAATTAATTTCCCAAAGCAAGTTTATTTACCCAGACAGTAATGTAAACAGGGTAGGGTAGGGTAGGGTAGGGTAGGGTAGGGTAGGTAGGGTAGGGTAGGGAAGGAAAACTGTTGACGAGGCTAAGAGGTGAATCTGGAGGTGTGTTATCCTGGCCTCCATGAACAAAACGGGGAGCCTAGGAGACTTTCGGCGAGGAGGAGACTGTGGAGATCATAGCTTTAGGTAAGAGGAGATGGATGGTTAGGTTAGGTTAGGTTAGGTTAGGTTAGGTTAGGTTAAGACCCCGAGTGTCATACCTGAGCGGGAGATACAGGTGAACTCATTACCACCTTCAGGAGAGACTACATAACACACCTCATCCTAGAGAGCCTTATCGTCCCTTCCTGTGTGGCGCTAATGCAGTCTGTTGTGTCGTGGGTTTAGGTGAGAGAGAGAGAGAGAGTGGTGGTGTGAGTGCTGGAGAGGCTTAGACAAGTTAGAGTATAAGCCAAAGTTTTCCTTCCTTCCCTCTCTTCCTCTCTTCCTTCCTTCCCATTTCCCTTCTTATATCCCCCCCCCCCCACACCCCCCACCCACCCCCTTCCTCCTCCTCTCCTCCCTCTCTCCCTCCTACCCCTCCCTTCCTCCCTCCCTCCCCCTCTCTCTCCACCTCCCACAGTCCCCCTTACCCCCACTGATGCAATAAGGAGAGACAATATTTCACTAACACCTGTTCTGGCTACGACCAAGGCTCCAGAATCCAAAATATTCCTCACGATCAATACCCAACTACTTAACCTAACCTAACCTAACCTAACCTAACCCAACTACTTAACCTAACCTAACCTAACCTAACCTAACCTAACCTAACCTAACCTAACCTAACCTAACCTAACCTAACTTAACCTACCTGGCTGACTGGAGGTGAAACACGTAAATAAACAAAAAAACACCATTAAAATTACACCAATACTTTTAAGCTATTAAGAGACGACCACTTAACACCACTTAACACCACTTAACACCAATTAACACCACTTAACACCACTTAACACCACTTAACACCACTTAACACCACTTAACACCACTTAACACCACTTAACACCACTTAACACCACTTTGGAGACAAAACTCTTCATTTTTTTGTGGTTTTAATATACAACTGTGTGTTTGTGTGTATAAATCAACCCGCTTAAACGTATTCTTACACCCACGCGTACACGAAATATCCATCTGACGAACACATGTGGATATGGACGAAGGACTGGATAATATTACATTAAGACACGAATTAAGTGGATATATGAGTAAAAAACCACATCAAAAAGTGGATCATTTATGAGGATACGAGGAGGAACAGTCACTCACACAAGACAGGTATAAGATGAACATTGGTGAACATTTATGAGTTTAATTACACCTTTATAACTAGAGGCTTGAGAGTGTGTTCAACTGAGTCACTTCACCTACGATACAGTTATAGTTTATTGAAGGTTCATGGGTTAAATTTCCTCTTATAGTATCTCTTATCTTGTCCTGTTATCTTTTCTCCTCTTATCTTTCCTCTTATCTTTACTCTTATCTTTACTCTTATCTTCCCTGTTATCTTTCCTCTTAGCTGGCTGGTGTTTGAAGGTCTCTTAACTGGCTCCATTAACTAAAGCACAAAGTTTATTTCCTCATTGATTCTGGTGTTAAAGGCTCATGGGGAGGGGCTTAAAGTGTGTGTGTGTGTGTGTGTGTGTGTGTGTGTGTGTGTGTGTGTGTTGTGTGTGTGTGTGTGTGTGTGAGTAAGAAAATTTACAATGAAAAAAATATAAATAAAATCAATAAAGCAAAACAAACACTAAACACACCTATACGAATGACGTCATACCAAACAATACAACAACACAAATTACAAAACAAAAACAAACAAACACTTTTAGCCACAATAAACTTTTTTTGTGTGTGTGGACTGACATTGAATTAATTAAAAATGATATAAAGTTACTCAGGCTGTTAACACGTAAATAATGTCACTTTAAACCCGTGTTGACATACAAATATTGAATAATTATATATGTTATATATTTATTCCTTTCTTTTCTCTTTATTTATTTTAGTTCTTCTATATTTCTGTTTCTTTTCATTCATTATTTCCATCTCTCCTTTATTTCTTTCATTTTCTTTTTACTCTCTTTTTCCCAATCTTTCTCAGTTTCTCTGCCCTTTCTTTCGCCCATTATTTCTCTCTCTCTCTCTCTCTCTCTCTCTCCACCCAAATCTTCTTACAGCCATTTCAATTGTCTCTCGGATTTAATCTTTTCCACAACTTCTCCATCAATTATTCTCTCCTACGTCTGTGTCCCCTTTCACTCAATTATTTCTCGGATCCTTCTGTCCTGCATAACGATTATAAAGAGGGAGAGATAGACCCTCTTTAAATTATAGAGAGGGAGAGTTTGAACCACTATTTTACCTGACCTAACCTAACCTAACCAAACCTAACCTAACCTAAATAATAGCTTCACCTAGTGCTTGTGTTTCGACTGACAATCCCCACATTTCACCAGAGCTCGCGGCCTTGTACCAGAAAGCTAAAGCAACTTCTCAAAGTCTAGACAGGTGGAGGTTAGGTGGAGGTTGGGTGGAGGGTTGGGTGGAGGGTTGGGTGGAGGTTAGGTGGAGGCTGAGTTTGTCCTTGGAGGGACAGGGTGAAGATATTGGTAATCCGTGCAGGGTGGTGGGGAGGTGTGAGGGGGGGGACTGGGTGGGAGAGACTGTAGGTGGGGGATACTAAGGGGTGGGTGAGACTGGGTGAGAGGTAAACACAACGACACCAGTCTATCAAACACACAGTCCACTCACCGAGAACAATACTTAACTGTAGAACAAAAAGGGGTCAATTATCCTAACACCCGGGCTACACCTGGACCCATCGATACTCTGTCCGGACATCCTGTAACCTGTAACTCTCCCTGACAAACTTCTCCTGCCACGGTCTTATAACAAACTGATAAAATGACTAAGGTGAAACGTAAAGAGTGACAGTTTCTGTATGTGTGTGTGTGTGTGTGTGTGTGTGTGTGTGTGTGTGTGTGTGTGTGTAAAAAGGGAAAATTTACTTATTATTTGTCCATCACCCCTCCCTCACTGCGGGCACTGAAGAGTTGGATTATTTTTCCTTGATTGTATCTTTAGACGTGTTGAAGTTTGTGATTCGTTAACCATTTAAGATTTATTTCTAACACCTGTATGTGTAGGAGGATAATACCTGAAATGGGACGACCTACTCTCAACAGGAGAAATAAATGACTTATATCCCTTCAACGGTCAAAGGTCATGATGTGTGTTAAGAATTTTATCTCTTACTACTACCTTCATAGGTATAATTTAATGAGATATACTACAGGTGTGACAGGTAAGACACTATATATATATATAATTAATTGACCAAAAGATTATTATTATTATTGGGTGTGATGACGTATGTTAGGTTATGACCACGACAGCCTACCACGAACACTATAAACCTTTCAATAACTTCTGGTACAACTTTCCTCACGTCTACTTTCCTCAGTGGCGGTAGAGGGAAGGTATTTGCATGCAACATTTAACACTTAGGTTCAATATAACTAAACCCACCTTAAACCCGCCTTAAACTCGCCTTAAACCCACCTTAAACCCGCCTTAAACCCACCTTAAACCCACCTTAAACCCACCTTAAACCCGCTTCTTCTTATGCATCATGTATTGTACCTCGTTCTGACAGAGTTCATGACGACCTACAGCTTCACTATAGACAGGACATGTGTATTGAAGTGTTATTATTATTGTTATTATTACTGTTGTTGATATTGTGGGTGTTGTTGTTGCTGTTGTGTTTATTTATATGTATGTACTCTTATCCTATTGCCATTAACACACACACACACACACACACACACACACACACACACACACACACACACACACACACACACACACACACACACACACACAAAAATATATAAACTGTCACACTCTATAACATGGATTAAATTTTCTTTCGCTTTTCAACTCTTTTTTACTCTTTCTTTCTTTTCTTTCTTTTTTTTCCTTCCTCTCGTGCAGTACACATCTGTTGGAGTTACTGAATTGTTTTTATTTTTAATTGAATTTGTGTTTGAGTGTTTTGAAATGTCTGAATTTTAGGAGTATTCTCTCTCTCTCTCTCTCTCTCTCTCTCTCTCTCTCTCTCTAACACGCTATGTTTCTCTCTTCCTAACACCTGTATCACCACTCTAACACCTGTATCACCCCATCTAACACCTGTATTACCCATCTAACACCTGTATCACCATCTAACACCTGTATCACCCCATCTAACACCTGTATCACCATCTAACACCTGTATCACCCCATCTAACACCTGTATCACCCCATCTAACACCTGTATCACCCATCTAACACCTGTATCACCCCATTTAACACCATACCCATCTAACACCTGTATCACCCCATCTAACACCTGCATCACCATCTAACACCTGTATCACCCTCAACAAACTCCCATCCAACACCTGTATCATCCCATCTAACACCTGTATCACCCATCTAACACCTGTATCACCCATCTAACACCTGCATCACCATCTAACACCTGTATCACCCCATCTAACACCTGCATCACCCCATCTAACACCTGTATCACCCATCTACCTACACCTGTATCACCCACCTCACACCTGTATCACCCCATCTAACACCTGTATCACCCCACCTAACACCTGTATCACCCCATCTAACACCTGTATCACCCCATCTAACACCTGTATCACCCCATCTAACACCTGCATCACCATCTAACACCTGCATCACCATCTAACACCTGTATCACCCCATCTAACACCTGCATCACCATCTAACACCTGTATTTTGGTCTTCTAGGTAATGTGTTTGTGATCGCCGCCATCCTGCTAGAGAGGAACCTGCAGTCAGTCGCCAACTACCTCATTCTCAGCCTCGCCGTCGCCGACCTCCTAGTGGCTGCCCTTGTCATGCCCTTAGGAGCTGTCTATGAGGTAAGGGCGCTAGGGGTCAGTTTAAGGGTGAGGTGGAGTGGGTTAAGGGGCATTTAAGGGGTGTGGAAGGGGAAGTATTTTGGGGTATTGTTTAAGGGGTGTGGAAAGGGGAGGATTTTTGGATATTCAAAGGATATAGAAGGGAAATATATAAGAAGTGTGGAAGGGAGGTCTAAGGGGAGGCAAGGGAGAAGGAGGAGGGAATATTAAGGGAGAGTTAATGGTTATAAAGATTAAGGAGCTTTGATGCCACTTGGAGCAATCTAAGGGGTTTGTGATAAAGGGGAGTTAAAGTGATGTAAGGGAAGGAAGGGATGATAGAGAAGGAGAGAAGCGGAAAGGGAAGGGAGGGTAGTGATGGGTTTAGTGAAGTGTGTGAGAGGGAGAGAGACCTCATACCCCTAAAACACACACACCCACATCCTACTTCTCTATCCCCCCCCCCACACACACACCCATACACACCCCACACACCCATACATTCTCATATACACACACACACACATCAAAATAAGTTATCAATAACACTATGTCACCATACATTACCGTTATTACTTGCCCCTCGATCCGTAAAAACATCTGACTGAATTTATACGTGGCTTCCAGTTTTCTCCCAGTTCACGGCGTCATATATATATATATATATATATATATATATATATATATATATATATATATATATATATATATATATATATATATATATATATATATATATATATATATATATATATTATTTGAATGACCTGAGGAACTACTAATTGAATGAATAATAAAGGTTAAAGGTTAAAAAATGTGTGTGTGTGTGTGTGTGTGTGTGTGTGTGTGTGTGTGTGTGTGTGTGAGGATGGGTGTAATGTAACTGCTCCTTAAAGATGATGTTATTTACTGTACGGAAGAGAGAGATGAAAGTGAAGAGAAGAAGAGGAAGAAGAAGGGAAGAAGAAGGAAGAAGAAGGGAAGAGGTAAAGGGAAAAGGGAAGAGAAGACGAGGGTAAAAGTGGACAGAGAGAGAGAGAGAGAGAGAGAGAGAGAGAGAGAGAGAGAGGGGGGGGAAGAACTGCATTAAATTTATATAAGTAACTTAACACAATGTCTCACGTATTTACCCGAGTCTTGTAAGAAAAATATTTGAGAGAGGATTTCCGGGAATTTTATAAGTATTTCCTGTCCACTCTTTTAAGTAACTTAGAAAAAAGAATTGTTAGCCGATGTTATAAATTACTTGGAAAAATTTGTTAGCCAATCTTACGAGGGCGTTACTTTGCTCTCCCGATAACAGAATGTGTCAGAAATTGCCCTCGGTGGAACGTAAGGTGGAAATAGTGCCCAGGCCAACCTACCTACATCCAGTTTATGTAATGGAGAGGTGGATACTCAAAGATAGAGATGGATGGAAGGAAAGTAGTGGTAGTGGTGGTTGTGGTGGTGGTGGTGGTTGTGGTGGTGGCGGTGGTGGTAGTGGGTGGTGGTGGTGGTGGTGGGTGGTGGTGGTGGTGGTGGTGGTGTGGTGGTGGTGGTAGTGGTGGTGGTGACAGGTGGTGACAGTGGTGGTAGTAGTGTAGTGGTGGTGGAGGTGTGGTGGTAGTGGTGGTGACGCTGGTAGTAGTGGTGGTGGTGGTGGTGGTGGTAGTGGTAGTGGTGGTGGTGGTGGTAGTGGTGGTGTGGTGGTGGTAGTAGTGGTGGTGGTGGTGGTAGATGGTAGTAGTGGTGGTGGTGGTAGTAGTGGTGGTGGTGGTGGTAGTAGTGGTGGTGGGTGGTGGTGGTGATGGTAGTAGTGGTGGTGGTGGTAGTAGTAGTGGTGGTGGTGGTGGTGGTGATGGTAGTAGTGGTGGTGGTGGTAGTGGTGGTGGTGGTGGTGGTAGTAGTGGTAGGTTTTCATTATTGGTTTGTACAATTTGTCTGTCTGTCTTTCACACACACACACACACACACACACACACACACACACACACACACACACACATACATACACACACATACACACACACACACACACACACACACGCTTCCACTTTTTTCACCTCCCTCCCTCCAACTCTACCTCCCTCTCTCCCTCTCTCCTCCCTCTCTCTCTCCCTCACTACCTTTGTCTCTCTCCCACTCACGCCTATCCCCATAAAATTTGCATATAAGAACATTGACGAGAACTTATACACGAAAGAAGAATAAAGAGAAAAAAATAAAGAAAGTGTCTGAGAGAATAATGAGGAGAGGAGATGAGATGATGATGGGAGGAGGAAGAGTGAAGAGGAAGAACAACAGAGGCGGGAGAATGAGGAAGAGGGGGAGGAGGAAGAAGAGTGAAGAGGAAGAACAACAGAGGCAGGAGAATGAGGAAGAGGGGGAGGAGGAGGAAGAGTGAA